TATACATAAAAAGACCATTAGTAATTAATTATTTATTTTATACTATTTGGATATGATTTTAATGGCTATCGTCATTCTTCTAGCTTTACGAAAAACCAAAAAATCTAGATCAAGAAATGCTAATACCATGAAATTTTTAAATATTTTTGTTTTATACAATGTGCCTTATTGTGTTTATACATAAAAAACTATTAGTAATTAAATATTTATTTATTTTACACTATTTAGATATGATTTCAACGCCTATCGTCATTCTTCTAGCTTTACGAAAACCAAAATATTTAGATCAAGCAAAGCTAATACTATGAAATTTTTAGATATTTCTATTTTACACAATGTACCACATAATTATTGTTTTCTTGGTAGACGTCCAGATCTACATATTTTCACTGACAGGCGACTTGAACAGGTATCAAGCCGTCTGTCTGGGACTAGACAGCACCAACAATCATGTCTCAGTAAATCTAAACGAGTGTTGGCAAAGACGACTCCACCGTAGTTATCTGGTGGGAGCCATTTGCAAATTTCGTCAACACACGCATACTCTCATTCTAAATGAAAATGAGCAGGCCAACAATCGCAATTGTAAACGCGATCGGAGAACTCGTCAACACCGTCCAACTCGGATCAAGCCCAATTGTTCCATCTTAACAGAAAAATATAACCCTCGGAGGCAGAACAACTGCTGAAATGTAGAAATGCCCAAACACAAAAAGCCGTTCGTCTGTCCGTAGCTAAGATCGCAGCAATTAGACGAGACGCGAGATAGAATGGGAATGGACAAACGGTGGACGAATTTTTGATCCCTCTCCTCGAATCCTAGTATTGTTCTCGTTGTTTTCCAGTTACTTGTCAACTTTACTCTGCTCTTTTTTCTTTACCTTCAACTTAACCATTCTCTGTCTTGGATTCTTTTTTCTAATTCTCACTTTCCTCTTATCTTATCACCTTGTCGCTTCTTTTCTCCTCTTCTCGGCTCTTTTATTTGACGCATTTTTCATTCTTTTTAGCCAAAGAAACTGGGTTTTGAGGAATCCCCCAGTAGAGCTTGGTACGGGCATAACTTTCATCTCGTTTTACAAGGTCGATGGAAGGGATTCGTAGATTGGTCTCATCGAAAGATCGACTTGTGATTGCTGGATTGCGCAAATAAGTCCTCAATTTACCGTCCTGCAACTCCGTTGACTTTGTGCTGAGCTTTTGTGTGCCCTGTGACGGAGATCGCTTAACGAACAATCACGGGAAAACAAAACAACCAAGAAAGGTAGCAGGCTGAGAATCTGCTTACTTCTGATACCTCACTTTGCAATCTTAATTGGGCATTCCATGATTCGGTCGGCATATTTTTTTGGTGACTGTTTGTAAATATTTGTTTCTGGCTCTGACGATGTCCATCCCATGACGGATGAAAGATCAACACGGATTCATCGGGCCGGCAAGACGGTGAGCCTAGGACTTATTCGCACAATTCAACAGTTACAGGAACAAGTCAACCGTCCTTTGGTATCTGGAGAGGCCAATCTACAAAGCCCTTCAACAACCGCCCTCTTAAACAAAACGAACAATATGCTAATATCTTTCATTTTTTGTTTGTTTTTCTCCTTTATTTTGTTATTTTACTCTTCTTATTGTATTCCCCTAATTTATTCACATTTTTCTCTACCTTTATTTGCCTCCCTATTTTTTCTGAACTTATCTTCATTTCTCACTCTTGTTTTTTGTTCAATTCCCTTATTTGCGGTTTTAAGTGTCTTATGCTTTTCACTTGCTTATTCTTTACTTATTTTATTTTTAGCTCCATTTTTTCCTACTCCCCTCCCTACTATCTTCACCTCATTATTATAGTCTATTTTATTTATTTATATTATATTATATTTCCATATCCTATTTTCGGGTATTTTCTCTTCATTTGTTACATGTTTTGTAATGTTAAATTGTGTACTTTTTTCGTTTTTTTATAAATTCAGCAATATTCCCATTTTTACATAAGGCTTATGATTAGTTTATGAAATGCCTCATAATCTACTAATGTATCCTCCATAGCAACCCGCCCAAATAACTATAGACCATTTATCACGTTTTATTCAGATTCTCTCTCTCTCTTGCTCTTTCTTACAAACACATACATACGCATAGTTTCAGCCACACCTTGAATTTTAATCATAGTCTAAGACATTTCTAACAAAAGACACTTTTGGGCTAACCATTTTAGGTCAGCCTTACATTCACATTCCAGACGTTCGCGCTAAGAGGGTTGGTGGACGGACTCGAGTCTTCTGACAACGGTGCCCATACGAAGTATAATGGAGCCACTTTGAGCAACTTGCCTTGAATAAGCCAAAAACTGGATGGTTATTTCGTTGCATAACAACGGATCGGAAATCTCTTTGGCCAGAATGAACTCTTTAGATGAATCGGGAGAATCGCTGGCATCAAAGAATTCCGGCATGTCTCCTTGTTCTGTGGTCGCCTGAGGATAGCCTGAAGTTAAATTGTGCAAAAAACGAAAATCCTATCGTAAAATCAGACTATAATGAGAGTAACTGTTAATAATATTTGAATCAACCAAGTCAACAGTTGATTGGGCAATAATAAGAATGGAAGAGAGGGCCTATGGGTGGAGGAACGGCAGTGACGAGAGGTTAATTTATCGGAGAAAAGTAAGAGAGAAAAAATCAGATGCGATAAGAAATGCAAAAGAGAAAAGGAGATGAGAGAATGGAAGAAGAAATAAGAAAGGAGAGAAGAAAACAAAATATGGAGGGAAAAAAGAGAAGAGAAGGAAAGGAGAAGCAATGAGAAGAAAAGATGTTGAGAATAAGATTAAAATGTGAAGGAATGAAGGAAAGATGACGATAAGAAGTTAGAAGAGCAAAAAGAGAGAAGGTGAAATGTAGAGAAGAACAGAGATAACAAGAAGGAAAGTGAAGATTAAAGAAAGAAAAGGATTAAATTAGAGAGTATATAAAATAATGAGAAAAGGATGGAATAAAAGAGAAGAAGATTGAATGAATAAAAGAGAAGAGGCAAAGTAAAGAAGGAGAGATGGATAGACTAAGGCAGAAGATGAGAAGGAAATGAGATATGAATAGGAGCATAGAGAAGTGGAGCAGAAATGAAGGGGAGTTGGAGAGAATGAGGAGACGAGAGGAGAGGAGACGAGACGAGACGAGAGGAGAGGAGAGGAGAAGAAAAGAGAAGAGAGGAGAGGAGAAGAGAAGAGAAGAGAAGAGAAGAGAAGAGAAGAGAAGAGAAGAGAAGAGAAGAGAA